GGAAGTAATGCTTTTAAAATCTGATGCAACTTTAAAAGCTTCATATGGTATTGTTTCATTGCGCGGTATTAATTTACTGTTAAAATCTATTGCAGGAAGAGTAGCTGTAGTTGCGCTGGGTATTGCTTGTGCACCTAATATGATTCAATAATTATAAAAAAAAGTTAATCAGTATAAAACTTTGATAGCAAATGCAAAAAAAAAAAAACACGTATATATGTACCTGTAAAGGTAACAAATGAAGTAGTTGAGCCAGTGACAGTTGATACCGATGTAAATGTCGTTGATGTACTTGAATTCACAGTTGTTGTAAAAACAACTGGCGTCGTGGGACACGCATGTCCTACCGCAGTAGGTGCTGGACTGTTGGTATTATTGGCTTGTCTTATATGTAGATGACCCGGTGCAAAAGAAGCATCCAAACGAATTATCAGAATACATATAATGAATATAACGAAAAGACCATTCATTCTTAAGAATAAAATCGGAATAATTCTATTAAGCATTGAGCTATAGTTCATTTGGCGATTGTTTACCTTTATATTGCCATTTCATAAGTACTGAAAAGATTTAAACACATTCGATATAATCAGATATCTGGTGTTACAAGATACAAAATTTGGTCTATATTTTTTTTTTCAATTCCAAAACAAGAAAATCATTTATTTAATCATATGACTACATTTTGTCAATCCAGCATTGTCATCATCTAGACAAACTTAAATCATCAAATCTCAAAATTTCAAATCATTTCAAATTTCGGTACAATACATGATGATCCATCCTCAATAACAGCTAAGCATGTAAAGCAAGTACGATGCAATAAGATAGAACATTCTATTTTGTGCGTTTTATTTTTACTATATTCAAAATTTAGTATGTAGTACTACAAATTTATTGGCATTGTTAGAAATTCCTTTTTTAGAAGTAGCCTAAGGTCAGTGCAATCTTAGTTAATCAATTTGTAAATTTTTATTTATACAGATCAGTTCAATGAAATAAAAAGAACGA